CTTCAGGTCTTCTCGGCCATGGTCATTCCCTCCCTTCTCTATGCTTGCGCCCCCCTAATGGAACATCTTCACCGGTTGTAAACATTTAGGATGGCCTGCCTATGATCCATCCTGGATTTTACCACGCTGGATTGTGTGGTGAGGAGCTCACAAATCCTTGAAAGATGTGGACAAAGTCCCATCGGTGAGCTCCTCCGCCAGGTAAGGCTGCGTTGCCTGAACCATGTAGCCCACATGGCCAGACACCGCATGCATAAACATCTTTTGTTCGGCCGGATCGAGGGGGCTAAACGGCCCGGCACGGGCTAGACAAGACATGGAGTGATGTGGTACAGGAGGACATGGAGCTGAGTGGACTTGCCGATGACTGGTACCAGCGGTGTCAAGATCGGCCTCTGTGGAGGAGCCTCCTGAAGGACCCTACTGGACAGTTGGAGGCATTCGCCCTCCAACAACAACGGAGGGCGGAGGAGCGACGCTCACAACAACGAGCGGAGCGCCGGGTGTCTAAAGCACAGCAAGTTGCCACAGTAGGGGGCACAGGTGGTGCATCAGCCAGTCGTCTCAGTCAGTCGACCTGTGCCATCTGGGTCTGCCCCGTGACGTCCTGCCAGCGGGCGTTCGACACTTTACGTGGCCTCAAGGTGCACATAGCCTCGTACAAGCGTTGTGGTGATGTCACCGACATTTACTGGCGAATGGCGGTTCTTGTTGTTCAGTCTATGTATGTATGTGTGAGTCGATATATGTGTATAACTCTACGTGTGTGTGTCAGTCTATTTGTGTGTGTAACTACATGTGTGTCTGCCTTGTTCGCCCGGGCAACGCCGGGTACTCACCGCTAGTCATTAAATAAACGTTTAAAATTCATGCTGTGCCCAGGGGCCACCTCGGGCACGAGGTCCCTGTGCCCAGGGGCACGTGGAAGCCCCTGGGGCGAGTCGCTCACAGGCGATGCCCCGGAGGAGTGACCGAGCAGGGGAGGGGGGGGGGGTGCAGCTGTTTCTGGACACAAGCGAGGGATGGTGGTGCCCTTCCGATTTGGTGGTGGTGCCGATGCCCCCTGCCCCTCCCCCAAGGTGCATGATTACACGGGCAGGTTGAGTATTAATGCGTGGAGCGCAGGCGATGTTTTTGTTCCCCAAACAAATGGCTCACGATCCCTCTGTGGTTGATTAAATGAGTGCCTTGTGGGGAGGGTTACCAACCGCATATTTAACGCTTGGGGGGGAGTCATCAGTGAAAGAGAACGTGAAAGAATGCTTCAGATTCGTAATCTTTATTTCGACTGGAGGAGGAGGAATCCGAAGAGCTGTGAAGCTCTTTTTCACAGATGTCCAGTATGAGGCACGGGGTCAGCGAGTAACAATGACAAAAATCTAACAGACAAAATATATACGAGTGCAACATAGAGAAACAGGTAAGCAAGTCACGAATATAAATGAACACGAAGTAAATTAATTATGTAAGCTTGGGCAAGGCAGCAAAAACAACAAGAAAACAGTGCCAGACCACTGCAAGATAACACTCAGTATTATTGTTTAATTTGGGTCTTTCGGTGAAGTCACGTAGATCGGTTCAAAGAAAAAGAATGAACCTATCTACGTGACTTTACCTAAATACCCAAAGAATATACATTTCTGCAGTCATGAAAGCTTTAAGTCAAGATTTACGCAGTAGTAGTCTCTCAATAAAATTGCACATTAACATTGAACTATCGATACACAAGGTAAGGGTCAAAGTTACAAATGACATTTGCAAATGTGGCTATACCCAGCACGAATCATATGCTTCAGAATATTTTTTGAAGGAAGATTTACGATGTTAAGGGAGGAAAGAGGGTTTTTCCATAAACTTCTAGATTTGAAGTTTTCGTGACTGCAAGGATTCATACTCTTTGGTTAATCGGTAAAGCCACGTAGGTAAAAAATAAATAAATGAAAAAACAACTAAATTAAATCAAGCTTCGGGCGCAACACAAGCATCCTTCAGGTGGAGACAACGTAGCGAAAGCACAACCGCTTAAGTGGTTTATTCATTTATTTAATTTTTTACCTACATGACTTTTCCGAAAAAACCAAAGAGTATTTGTTCCAGAAACGTTGGTGCTGCAACGACAAATGCTTCGGCACCGATTCCAATTCTTGCGCCGGGCGATATTTAAAAGTCAGTTAGATGGACGCCTTTGGTTTCTTGAGCGTGACAATGGCGATAATGAATGAGCTAAGCGGAGCGCAGATTTGCCTTAACGGATTTCATGGATGAACAGGGCCCACTGTAGGTGTCTTCTTGCGTCAAGTGATGCGAGATTTGGATTTCAAGTCGAGTTCACAGCGCTTACGTCAATCTCATCAACCGTGGGCCTACACGCCAGGTCTCCGTACAAGCAACAGTCGCACAGCATGTGTCATATCATGTCACGGGGGTCCTCACCTTTTGCCATTGATCCTTTATTGAAATGTAGACATGGTGGGGATAGTGGTGGTGTAGCGGTCAGCGCGCTGCGCTATGAACCTGGCCACCACAGTGCGATTCTCGCTCACGACCAACGCCAGTGATAATTATCTGAACTGGTCCTGGGCCTCCCCTAGGTCGACTCAGCCTCAAATGAGTACCTGGTGCGTTGCATGAAAACATCGCCACTAGGGAGACAAAGGCGGACGGGCGTGGTGCTGGCCACCCACCCCCTCGTGTGCCATTCCGAGAAATCATAGGTGCTCGCTAACGTCGTTTGCCCCAACGGTTTGTTACAGGCTATACGAGGAATATTTGTCTTTGTTGGTGGGTGTGTTGGACGCTTGTTCATGGGGATGTTGGTGGGGGTGTTGTTGGAGGTGTTGGTGACTTGGTAGTATAAGCGAAATGTGCTCAGAACACGGCGACCAGATATTTATTTCTGGACACTGCTAACAGTGATGAGTGACATTATAACTGGCCTAGGCACCCCCTATGTCAAATCAATAATATAAACAAGCTCATGGTATAACGCTACACACACAATTCGCAATCTCCTCTCCATACCAAAAGGACCACGAACTTCTCTACCAGGCGTCGTTTCTCCGCAGTCGCCCCCCGTTCTGACTGGAATGCAATCACAGTGCACGTACCTCGCAACATTCAATCGACACGAGGCCCCACCTCTTTCGCCTGGCTTTGGAGTGGCACTGAGCCCCGCGGAGTTACGGTCATTGAAGTCTTCGGAATTTCGGGTGCGTTATGAATTGCATTGTTCATCGTGCACCAGAGGCCGTGTACGGATTGTATCCAGCTCCGCATGGGAAATAGCTTGTGGAAAAGCAACCATGCCACGTGGACCCCGCGTTGGCTCGGCTCAGATGTGCCACCCTTTGTCCAACCTTAGATTGGCAGCCGTTTTCAGTGTGAATTGGCATCCATCCATCCCATGCCTTCCAGCAAATTGAACAGAGCAATATATTTCTATTTCGTTAGAACTAATAGAGAAAAAATGCTAAACGCTCATCATTCCTGCGTGGACCTGAAAATTTGTAAAGAAACGTGAATACATCGTTAAAATGTTTGACTTTTAAAAATTTGGAATTTAAAACAACAACACGAAATCACGCATGCTGGCCAGCCATTTGTAGCAGATATAGCAGTTCACCAGGCTCAACACGGACAGAGGAAGTCCCATGCCTACAGCAGCAGCGGTGAGCATGTAATTGTACAAATGGACAGGTCACTTTCCCACCCACTCTGCCACTGAGAGTAGTACTGTTGGTCACTTGGCATTCAAATTTACGTTTGTAATTTTTTTAGTTGGAATGTTTGTTTACATTCATTGCAGGAACCAAATTGAATGTGAAGTCTGCTTCTCGTGTAGACATTGGTATACCAGGCTGAGACCGCTACGCTTGAAAATCCCGTTTCATCACAAGCGGCTGCCTGAATTCTTAACCCTTGGATCTCAGAGGCACTTTGCTTAGCTTCACGCTCTGATCACAGCCACCCAGGCACCTCAAGGCATCAGCATTAAAAGACCATCATCCAGCAGTGGATAACAACTGATGCCTCCGATTTGCACGGTTGGCAATGTAAGGTGCGAAAGAAGTTAAACATACATACAATGATAAAACATTATTCTAAGAACAAATTAAATTCGGTAAAAAAAGTACACTAATGACAAACCGTGCTTAAGTTAAGCCCTGGGCTCAGAGCCAATGATGATGGTGCAGGTGGTGAAATTTTGTTTTTTTTAATCGTGTCATTAATTTACGTTTGATAAATATTGCAGTTCTTTTGAAGAGATATAAGAATAGCTGATAGCATTCTGTGGTCAAAAGCCAATATGGGGTTAAGGGCGCCACGGTGGCGAGATGTTAACGCCGTCGCCTGGTATACAGGAGGTCGTGGGTTTGATCCCGACCCAAACCCTGATTTATGTATATTTTGAGTTTGCGTGTCTCACCCTGGCCGCATGGATTTCTCCGGGTCTTCCAGTTTTCCCTCTACATTTAAAAACATGCGCTTAGAGTATTTGGCTCCTGCTATAAATTTCCACATGATGATAGGCCACTTCGTTGAGCTATCATTTATGGCCAGGTTGCTTCTGAAAATAGATGTACAGTATAGCTCAGTGGGCCTTACCTGGTAAAAAAAATTGTTATTAAGAGTATAGTTTTCGCTACAGGTGGCACATACGTAGGGCGAGAAGCCTGCTAGTGCATGGTTGAGAGTTCAATTCCTGGTCGGTGGCTGACTCAACCCATCATCCAACTGGGGCCAATAAAATAAATGCGACTTTGTGGGAAAGTCACAATTAGTTGTCCTGTGAATAGACTTGCCCCCGTTATTGGAATGTGGCCTCTCTACCACCGGCTCGGGATTGTAAACATGAGGTTAGCACTGCCTCAATGCTCATTTGAGCAGAACATCACTTTGACTGAAGCTTCTACATGAACGACATTTTACCCAGCTTACGACGTTGCTCTGCACTGCGTGCCTACGCACTGACCGTTCAGGAAGGAGCGTTCAGAACCCCTCTAAACGATTGCCGATACATTGTGGACCCTCGCTCCGCAGAAATCGCTCGGAATAATCGCACGGAGGCAATGCGTCATCTCCCTCCTCAGTTCCTTTGTTCTGAACACGTAGATGCTGACGTTGGCCATGGGGATGAAGAAGATGGTAAAGCCGGCGGCGTAGCGCATGTTCCTCGCTTGGGCGCTCTGCAGGTCCTTGACCACGCGCGACACGAGAATCGAGAGGAAGATCGCGACGAAGAAAACGGCGAGCATGAAGAAGTGCGTGAGAAAGGTGTTCACCGCTTTCGCCTTGAAATCGCTCCGCCGCGTCCTCGCGCACTCGACGATGACCCTCGCGTACGTGTACGCGATCAGCAACAGCGGCACCACGAAGAGCACCACGACCATCGCCGTGCTGTAGACCGCCTGGAGCTGCGTGTCGCCCTGCGACAGCCGGACGAACCCCATGTAATCGCATATCACGCCCTGTATCTGCCTGTCACCGTCTCTCAGCTTTAGCGCGTTGACGAGAATGGTAAGGGGCACAAGCACAGCCCCCACGAAGCCCCAGATGGCAGCGATGGCCATCAGCGTCCGTTTGCCGGTGACGATGGCGTGGTAGCGAAGTGGGTGGCAGATGGCGATGTAGCGGTCGACGGACATCGAGGCAAGGGCGAAACACTCGATGCCGATGAACAGGTTTATGGAAAACATCTGCGCGATGCAAGAGGAGCGCGGGATGCGCGTGTCCCCCGTCAGAAAGATGTAGAGCTGCTGGGGCAAGCTGACCGTGCAGCCAATGATGTCGGCCGTCATGAGGTTGCACATGAAGGTGTACACGGGCTTGTGCAGCTGTGGGCGCACGACCACCGAAAGCAGCACCAGGAGGTTGGCGAGCAGTGAGGCGACGAAGACGGTCAGGCACAGGGTGAATGCGAGCACGCGAACGTTGTGGGGAGCTTCCAGTGTCCCCAGGATGACATAGGAGTCGTTGCCTTCCATCGCGCGCAAGTCCTACAAATGGTATACGGTCATCCCCTAGGGCCTGCGTGGGAGTGACATTTACGGGCACAAAATGCAAGATCTTGGTTAGTATGGCAGTCGTGCCTCAATTGAACATTCATGAATTCTTTAAAATTACGGCAAATAATACATTAAAATGAGATACAACCACATTGGCTGTTGTGTTCAACCACCACACTGCAGGTCACCTCCCTTCTCTTCTCTTTCTTACCTCGCACAGCTCCCGCTTTGTAATTCCCTCCTCCCCATCATTATTTCTTACACCCCCCCCCCCCCGAAGTCATTAAAATAACATTTGCTATTTTTTTTGTCTTAGGTAGCAAAAAAAAATCTAAAATTGGTTTTATCTCGCATTACACATCCATTCGTGCTTCATCTGTTGCTGGCCGCTTGGTATGTCTGGCTTTTGGGCTGCACTCGGCAACCCTAAAGATGACGATCTGAGCATAAAACCGCCGCTTCGTGGTGCCACTTTGAGTGGCGCGACGCCTCTGCCGTGACGGCGAGCGGTCGCACGCGAACGCAGCGGCAGTGTTACACTCTGAATAAAGCGGATACCTCTCTCTATCTCTCTCTGGTCAGCACTTTCCAAGAATAGCCTCTGCCTGTTGAAGCTCAAATTTAGATTGGGGTTTACTTAGTTTTTTTTTGCTAGAAGGATAATTGGGAAAGCTTTCGCGAATTTTTTCTACAATGGATTTTTATTTAACCCATTCCAGGTTTTCAGATTCAAACGCTTTGTTGGTTTTAATTAAAAAAAAAACCTGCAAATGCTTCACCGCCGTGCCTACGTGCGTGCCATTGCACTGAGCAATGTGCGACAATGCTGCATCCCGCCTGCATGCTGTCATTGTAAGTAAATGCGTATTGTTATATTTTAAGGAGTGTTCGTACCTGCGGGTTACGGAGTTTGTCAAATGGCTCTTCGCCGTGGTAGAAATAAAGGTGGCCGGTCCCCGCATGTGTTGGAATCTAACCTCGGCGCCAGGTGTCTTGACAGTGACAGGAGTTGCGGCGTGCCGATGGAGGGAAGATTTTTATACACTGCAGAGCACCGTGTGGTGACGTCACCTGATGGGTGTGGCCAGCAATGTTTAATTATCACTTCTGGATCTCGGCGGTTTTCATGGATGTAACGACTCCCCATGCGGCCAAAAAAGATGCGTGTGTGTGTGTGTGTTTTAAATATAAACTGCAATTTTAATTGGTTCACCGAGCGCTCGTTCCCCGGCGCGTTCCGACGTGGCCTGGGTGGACCCAGTTGCCGTGCTGGCAGTTAAGTCTGCAGTAGAAGGTCGCTCGCTCAGTGATGTCTGCAGGGATTTTTAAAAGAACGAACCATCTTTTATATATATAGGTAAACACGCAGACAATGTCTTCTGCCTACGTTTGTTCCCAATATAAAAACAAGCATAATATAGGTTTTTATGTGGGTTAGATCGCATGAATGCAAATGTGTCATTAAACCCGCCACCACCCGACGCAGCCAAGTAGTAAGGTTTGTCATGTAAACAGAACATGCCAAATTCTTAGGTTTTTTCGGTAAAGTCACGTAGGTTAAAACATTAAAAAGTAAAATAAAATAAAAATCACGACGTTTCGGAGGCAACACAAGCTTCCGTCTTCAGGTGGAACCGTCACAGCCACGGCAGACGGAAGCTTGTGTTGCCTCCGAAACGTCGTGATTTTTATTTTTATTTTATTTTACTTTTTAATGTTTTTACCTACGTGACTTTACCGACAAAACCTAAGAATATGAATCATTGCAGTCACGAAAGCTTCAAATCTAGAAAGAACATGCCAATTCGTTACTAGTACAGCACACCGGTATGTTGGACAGAAAATCCATAACATTTACAACCTGAGTATGACGTTTCATCAATTATTGCAACTACATCAGGCGACAGACACATTTGTGCAGAAATCCTCCTGTTTCGTTCGTTAAATTGCGAGATAGATGTGATGACGTCACTTGTGAGCCCCTCTTGTGCGAAGGGGGAGGGGATTAATTAAGGCACATAAATGACATCATATGGTAATATACTTACATTATGCATGCTCATTGTTCTTGTACCTTCTATCGTTCGCGTGCAATAAAATAGCAGTGCCTGTCATTATCTGCGTACACGTAATCCCCATTGATGTACAGTAGAACCTCTGGTCACGACTATAATTCGTTCCATAACTTTGGTCGCAACCCGATTTGGTCGTGACTCGAACCTAATTTCCCCATTGGATTGTATGTAAATACGATTAATCTGTTCCAGACTCCTACGAACTGTATATAAATATTGTTTTAAACATATTTTTTTAGCATCAAAAATAGTTAATTATTCAATAGAATTCACAGTGTAATAGTAAACTAAATGTAAAAACATTGAATAACACTGATAAAACCTTGAACAACAAAGAAAACTAACATTGCCGCGTCAAGGTTTAGAATCGTTCAACAAGATGATTGTTTCGTCTGCTACATCAGTCGGTCGATCCTGAGAGAGAGAATATTCGTATGAGCAATTCATGTTTCTATTGAAAGTAAGTTAACAGTAATATTTGGGTACAGTATTGTTTTTGAAGCATTCACTGTAATATCGTGTGAACGTTTACTTCACCGCATCATCGTATGAATGATGCGAGAAGAGATTAACGAGTTCTTGTGTTAGCGATTTGCGTACTCAGCGCTTTCGCTCTCTAAATTACGGCTTGAATGAGGGGGGAGGGGTAATATCTTACTAAGCGAGACTGACTGAGCAAGCGGCCACACGTGGGTCGCTGTTGTTTGTAACAAACAACAGGAAATTTGGCGCTTACAAAAAAATGGCGCGGAAGGGGAAACTGGCTGCGACCGTGTTTGATCGCCACCCGAGTTTGTGTTCGTGACCAGATTCCAAAAAAATGTGCATTTTTTGGTCGAAACCGATTTGGTCGTGTTCAGAAGTGTTCGTGACCAGAGGTTCTACTGTATCATGACTTTTATAAGCATTGTTCTGCCTCATGGCAGGTGTGGGGGCGTGTGTACACAGGAATTTCCTGTTTTGATGTTGAGTTTGGTCACGTGACCAGGAAGTTACGATTTAAGATTCTCCCAGCCACGCGGCAGGGTGTCAGCTATTACACAGAGTACAAAATGGTGGCACAAATAGCGTCTCAGTATCAGAATCAGAAACTGTTTTAATCGCCATGAAAGTTTACACATACACGGAATTTACTATGGCCGGAAGGTGCATACATTCAACATTTAGCAATCTTAAAAACTCGAATAGGTGATATACAGTCTAAGTATACTAACGTTACAAAGCATAACTAATACTAACGGTCTAAAGTATTTAAAATTATGAATAAGTAGACCATATAAAATGTGAAATGTAAAATGTGAATTAGCCATAATATACAATCTTAGAATACAAAAATACGAATAAGATAACACGTTGTAAGTATGACTAGGTGTAATTATGTAGATAAAATGTTATAGTAAATGTAAAAGTCATTTTAAGGATTCATATTCTTAGGTTTTTTCGGTAAAGTCACGTAGGTAAAACATCAAAATTAATGAAAATAAATAAAATAAAACAAAAATCACGACGTTTCGGAGGCAACACAAGTCTCCGTCATCAGGTGGGACCGTCACAGCCGAATTAGCTGCATCAAGTGAGGCAATGATTCAAGATGTAATCCCTTATAAGCAAGTTGAGTTAAGTGTAAAAGTAATTTTAACCCCTTTGCCTTGTTGAAGAGGCCAACAGCGGATGGGAAGAAACTGTTTTTATGACGTGAGGTTTTGGTCCTGATGGACTGCAGCCTTCTGCCGGAGGGGAGTATCTGGAACAGAGAGTGTCCAGGGTGAGAGGAATCGTCCACAATCTTCCTCGCTTGCCTCAGGGTCCTCAAGGTGTGCAAGTCCTCAAGGGTTGGTAGATTACAGCCAATCACCTTCTCAGCAGTGCGGATGATACGCTGCAGTCTGCTCTTGTCCTTGGCAGTGGCAGCAGCGTACCAGATGGTGATGGAGGAGGTGAGGATGATGGCTGTATAGAAGTGCACCATCATTGTCTTTGGCAGATTAAATTTCTTCAGCTGCCGTAGGAAGTACATCCTCTGTTGAGCTTTCTTGATAAGGGAGCTGATGTTCAGTTCCCACTTGAGGTCATGGGAAAGAATAGTGCCCAGGAAGCAGAAGGACTCCACATTGTTAACTGGGGAGTCGCACAACAGGGTGATGGGGGTGAGTGGGGCTGTATTCTTCCTGAAGTCCACAACCATCTCCACGGTCTTAAGAGCATTAAGCTCCAGGTTGTTCTGGCTACACCAGGTCACCAGGTTGTCAGCTTCCCTCCTATAATCAGACTCATCCCCATTAGAGATGAGCCCAATTAGGGTGGTGTCGTCCGCAAACTTCAAGAGATTGACGGACGGGTGACTGGAGGTGCAGCTGTTGGTGTACAGGGTGAAGAGCAGAGGGGAAAGGACGCAGCCCTGAGGAGATCCGGTGCTGATGGACCTGGAGGCAGAAATTTGTAATCCCAGCTTAACGCACTGCTTCCTGTCAGACAGGAAGTCTGTGATCCATCTGCAGGTGGAGTCTGGCACGTTCAGCAGAGAGAGCTTGTCCTGAAGCAGGGCAGGGATGATGGTGTTAAAAGCCGAGCTAAAGTCCACAAACAGGATCCTGGCGTAGGATGCTGTGGAGTCCAGATGCTGTAGGGTGAAGTGGAGAGCCATGTTAACTGCGTCATCCACAGACCTGTTGGCTCTGTAGGCAAAATGAAGGGGGTCCAGGAGAGGGCCTGTGATGGCTTTGAGGTGTGCCAGGACCAGGTGCTCAAAAGACTTCATTACCACGGAGGTAAGGGCGATGGGTCTGTAATCATTTAGTCTGTTCATTGTGGGACTTTAAGAAGCATTGTCTCTAAGTTCGTTAATGTTCTTATGATACTGGGAATGATGTTATAATGTTACAATGGCCGTTATAATGCTGTACATGCCTTTATAATACTGTTACATTGTTATGACAA